CATTATGCCCTTATGCTGTACTAGAACTCAACAGGAGCCTCCACGGGTCAACATAACGCTTCATGTATAGCCTGATCGGAAATAAAAGCACTTCAACAATACCCTGTCTTCCTGTATCTAAAGTCTACCTCCGTCAGATCCACACATTATGCATTATTTATAGACATTTAATCTTTTTTCGGCCTCCCTTTCCTGCGTCTATAACACAAAATGCAAACGGACATCCGAGAGAGCGCGTCTCGACAGGAAAGTGCTCTGTGATATCACTCACGCCGATCTCTTCGTATTTGTGTGACGCTCAATCAGGGGAGGTAATTATGACCTTCTTCCGCCATCTTGACCCGGTCACGTGACCTTTCCCCGTTGCGTTCCGTCCAGTTTGTGAGAGTAACTCTTTGTAGTTTTTTTATTTGGTCGGAGTTGTGAGTGAATCATCGCAATTCAACAGACTGTGAATCATAAGAATGCCTAAAGATCGTGTCTAGACATTTAAAAGGTTTTAACTATTTATGTTCTATCTGTGATAAATCTGTGTGTCTCAACCCATTTGGAGGAAATTGTATGAAATTTGATCAAGGCTCTGTTGTTTAACATGTTACATGGTAAGAGTCATCAACGTCTAATTCAGCGTGGCCTTGTTTGTTTGTTGTTGTTTTTTCGTATATAGACAAACATGATGGTGTCTCAACGTTTCTCAAAGACATGATACATCAGAGTGTCAGAATAAGACCTCATGTGTGCATGTGGCTTGTTTTTTCTAAATTCGTGAACCGGCCAGGTTCGTTTCCTATCAAGTCTAGTGAAATAAATTTCATACGTGTGTTAATCAGCATAATGTATGTCGTGTTTTAATCAGTTATCACAGTACAAAACAAACAACAACTTTTCAATTCCAACAATCTTCTTACACTCGCGTATACACTATCGCAATGTCTTCAACGTGCACGTCAAACTGTGTCGATTGAACATATGCACGTGCATATCAGTTGATAGAGTTGGTTGTGTTGTTGTTTTTTATTAAAAAACCCCAAAACAAACCTATATAACTTTATCATCATTTATGTCAAATTTCGTTTCACTTTTTGAGCTATGTTTTCAAGCTATGTAATTATTCATCAACCAACGATAATAAATCGCTGAAAGTTATCTCAAAGTTGCCGTGGGTTTTTCTTGTGGCATCTACGCTGAAACTTAAAAAAGATGAGACACAGCTTCAGAACTAATACTTGCCTCGTTACGGAAACGCCGCAAAATGCTGCAAAATTACTGCTGGAGCTGGACCATGCTCCCAAGTCTAGGTGCCCGTTACCAGGCCGGAAGTTGTGTGAATCAGACACTATGCCCTGTGTCATTAGGATAATTGTCAGCGCGAGACTGACACGGAGTAAAACCTCGTTAATCCGCACGGTAAGTTCCCAGTCAAATCGTCCGGATAACCAATGTCCGGGTTTACGAATCTGTTATTGGGTGATGTTGTATTTATATGTCTTGACGCTCCTAACGGTTAACGTCTGGGTAATGAGGTTTAACGGGGTCTAGGTAATAGGGGTTTCATTGTACAACTGAATTTTGAGTAAGCAAACGTTGTGGGGTGTCAATGATTTGAATCAAACTTGCAAGACTGCAAACTGGCCTGAGTTAGGAAAGGGTACACTGCGAAACTATTTACAACCTGCACAGCACAAGACAAACGCCGTGATATAACTGGGATAATGTTCAAAGATGCGTTTAACCCAACTCACTCACTCACTCACTCACTCACTCGCTCACACCCCGTGGGGTTGTCTGTCTCACAGCCCTTGAAACATATTATTTTCTCTTCCCGTCATCCCTCTCTGTAATGCAAAAGCCCTAAATGAAGCAAGTCTAGATTTATATTTCTTTCTATCTAAATTATATATTTTCAGTGACTGAGCGTTAGTCTGCCCATGGGGATTCCTAGTTAGAATAGGTCCCAGGCGATCCATCCTTGTAAGAGTATATAAGGGGGGCATATACTGGGTATCAGTTGTCAGATTTTTGTTTCTGGATTCTGATTTGTGTGGACGGCGCAAAAAGTTGCAGATGTTAAAATATTCATGTCAGTATTTACTCGGGTATTGCAAGAATATTGTGTACAAGAACTCTACATCCAAGACCAATTAAAAAGTTTTATTTTGAAACATATTGTAAAGTCAAGACCTTTCTCAAACCTAATACACATAAATTGCATTAAAAATGTATCATTACGTAGAAGTTTGGCCAAGTTTAGAACAGAATACAATGATCTCAAAATCCAAACATAAAGACGTTCTAAAGTTACAATAGATCCAGGTGATGCTTTTCGTGAACAGCGTGGCGAATGTCTTGAAGATGAATATCATATTTTGTTTATCTGTTCAAAGTATGTGTATGTAAGGTTAAAACAAATACCACACTGTTATAATATTTTTCCAAATATATTTTTTTTGGTTAATTTATATTCCACAAACGAGGAAGATATATTGTTAAATTTATATCTGTATATCCATAAAAGTCTTAAGCTTAGGACAAATGGCGCTCACTGAAATATTGTACGCCAGTTGAACACACATTGTACTAAAGGCCTTGTACGAATGAAGTATGTCTGTGTCTGTCTGTCCGTCTGTCTGTCTGTGTCTGCCTGTCTGTCGATCTGTCTGTTTCTATAGGACCGCCTCCGTCGTCTAGTGGTAGAGCGTCCGCCCGGAGAGCGGAAGGTTCGGGGTTCGATTCCCGGCCGCTACATACCAAAAGACGTTAAAAGATGGCACTCGGCATTAAGGGGCTAAAACAAGGACTGGTCGGCTCGGAGTCAGTATTCTGTATCTGGGTAGGGTATTCGTGTTAAACTGCGGAATGGTATCTCAGTGGGCTAGCACTATAAATCGGCGTCAGTCGACGTCCGGACTAGTACAAGCACACACACACACACACACACACACACACACACACACACACAATCTCACACACAGACACACACAGACACACACACACACACACACACACACACACACACACACACACACACACACACACACACACACACACACAATCACACACAATCACACACACACACACAATCACACACAATCACACACACACACACACACACACACACGTGTGCACTTCAAATTGAAATGGGCTTCACGCATTGTACCCATTTGGGGAATCGAAACCGGCTCTCGGGCGTGACGAGCAAACGCCTTAACCACTAGGCTACCCACCGCTCCGTGCTCAACGAGAAACAGAATAAAACTACTTTGCAAAGAAGACATAGCCACTGCAGATTTTAGATTTCTTTAGTTTAGTCCTCGTGAACTACAGATACACATTCTTGGAAAACCACAGGACTTTATGTGTGAATATTGTCTCTACGTGTAGCATAAACTGACATTTTGATGTAATATAATTTGATGTATGAACGACTTTTATTAGAGTTTCTAACACTGCCAATATGACCGAGCGAAAACAACCTTAAACCAACAGGTGTCAGCTAACTGCATCGAATTTAGCATACACACCGGGCTTTCTGACCTATAAAAGTCAAATTATAAACACAGTGTGCGATATTTAATGTGTTTTTAATATCTTATACAATCTTAAAACTCTGTCACAGTGTGGTACATTTATATATATTTTTTAAAAATGGGTATTTGCACGTGCACACAACTTTGGGACGTCAGCGATCTTTATATATATGTGTTAAGAATACGTCACCATGTTCCCTCAGTGAGTTCATGGTATGTGACGACGTCCGTCGCATGTTCGTCCGTAGTCCGTCCGTTAAGTTTCGACGTTTTACTGAACCGTCCATAGTTAGGAACTGAGCCTTAAGGAGCTCGGGCTTCTTTAAACATTAAAAGAAATAACATTTTAAATTTTGAAAAAGGATCAAAATTGTCCAGTCGTCTCAAGCACGGTTCCAGTGAGGATTCCGGGTTCGAATTGGTCCCCCGCAACCTAGGAGGGTTGTTCAGATCTTCGTGACATGTTTGTTGTGGACATTATGTGATGTCATAAAAAGTTGGACCGCCTCCGGGTCTAGTGGTAGAGCGTCCGCCCGGAGAGCGAAAGGCTCGAGGTTCGATCCCCGTCTACGTCATACTAAAAGTCGTTAAAAGATGGTACTTGTTGTTACCCTGCCTGGCGCATGGCATTAAGGGGCTAAAGGTAGGCTCAGAGTCAGTATACTTTGTCTGAGTGGGGTTTTCACGTTAAACTGCGGCCTGGTATCTCAGTGGGCTAGCACTATCAAGTTAGTCATGAGCGGGGTACAAGTGGACCACGAGGAGTTGATGTGTGCCTCACTGCAGCCAGGCTTACCGTCATCGAGGGCTGAACACTCCACTACAGACAACACACAGCCCTCTCGGAATATACCCGGTTAATAACAGAACCTAGGAGCCATAGGTGTAGACATATATAGTTTACAAAGTTATACACACTTCGTGGAAGAGACCTACCCCTAGTGAATTGGCAAAATGGACACATCTGAGTACAGAGCGGTGATAAAGTTCCTTGTCCTAGAGGGTCAATCTGCCAAACAGGTGGAAGAGCGATTGACTGCATTTTATGGAGAGTCTTCCCCATCGTCTGCAACTATCAAACGGTGGGTGAAGGAATTTCAGCGTGGCAGAGAGAGCTTAGAAGATGATGCCCGGTCCGGACGGCCATCAACCAGTACCAGCCCTGAAAACATTGACACTGTACACAAACTAGTGATGGAAAACCGACGTATTACTCGCCATGAGCTAGAAGAAACAACAGGCCTATCATATGGATCCATACATAATATAATTCATGGCAAACTCCACATGTCCAAAGTGTGTGCCAGATGGGTCCCGGGAATGCTAACAGATGACATGAAGCTATCAAGGGTCACCATCAGTGGAGCCTTGCTAACTCGGTACAACGCCATCCCAGATGATTATAAGTTTAGGATTGTAACCAGTGAAGAATCATGGGTTTATCATTTTAATCCGTAGAGCAGACAGGAGCCGATGGAATGGAAACACGCCACTTCTCCAAAGACAAAGAAGTTCAAAGCCACCAGATCCACCAAGAAGGTTATGATGACCATCTTCTGGGACAGCAAAGGAGTGATTCACACCGACTACCTGCCCCATGGCACCACATTGAATGGGGAGTATTATGCCAAGTTATTGAAGCAGGTGCGCCAATCCATCAAGGTGGGATTCTGCTTCACCAGGACAACGCACCAGTCCGTCCACACGAGCCGTGTTGCAATGACAGCTGTGCAAGAATGTGGCTACGAACTCCTCTCTCATCCACCCTATTCTCCAGACCTAGCCCCCAGTGACTTCCACCTCTTTCCCAGGCTGAAAAAACACCTCCGGGGCCGGAGATTTGAAGATGACGATGAGCTAACTGCTGCTGTGGAGGGTACCAGAGGGTTAGGGGACCAGAATGTTGACTTCTACCGATCGGGCATCAGTGACTGGCAAACTAGGTGGAACAATTGTGTGGAGTTGGGAGGGGACTATGTTGAAAAATAAAGTAGTAACAATCCAATTCTTTTACTTTTTGTGTGTGAGGCTCAAAACTTTTGTGTGTGTGTGTGTGTGTGTGTGTGTGTGTGTGTGTGTGTGTGTGTGTGTGTGTGCATGCATGTGTGTATCTATGTATATACACACACAATATATCTCAGTATATCTATATATGTGTACACATATGTAATTGGTGTATACATATATAGTTGAACACAGTTGTACACATTTGTAATTGTATTGATGTTAAGTTGTATACATATGTAATTGTATACATAGTTGTATGCCTAAAAAACTTGTTTATGCATATGTTGTATAAATATAGATAGTTGTATACGTATGTAGTTGTGATATACGGAGAACATATGGCACATTTGCACAAATCTGTTGTTAATGTTTTATACAGTATATGTAGGTTTTTTCAAATCTATCGTAAGATATCTAGGCCTCATAGTTTCATGACATACTTAATTGATTCAAATTTCGCGCGTTTAAGTTAACGCCCTACGCCACCAAATACCCCCGTCGATTACACGTCTTTGCCGACAACCCCCGCAGTCAACACCCTGACCCGCATCCACCCCACCCATCCCCCAACGTCCCACCCGCTATCCCCCCCACCACTCAAGGTCAACGCGCCCTGCACCCGAACGCCTGTCATTGCCTGGGTCACTGACCACGGTTGACCTAGTAACAAGCCCTCGGAAATATGTACTTCTCTCTATACCGCAACACCGCGCGGACTGTTAGGCGGCGACACCTACGCGTTGGCAACCCCGGTTAACCCTCTCAAAGCCAGCGCCGTTGTCTGGGCCTGTTTTTGTAAGCTGCAGAAGCCGAGGGGCTTGTTGTTATCTTAGCCTGTGCAAGCATGCACAAAACAGCATCCATTCGAGAGGTAAGACAGTGTAGCAGATCTAGATGATAATTATCTCGTGCTTGATTAATGCTTTCGCCGTGCTTCCGTAATTCAGCACGGGGCTATGAGTAGTCGAATGAGTGAGGGTTTCCGCAGCTTTTCTTAATTTTGCTTTTACATAGCCGTAGATAATTATGTTTTAGACAACCGTGAAGTTGGGATAATTATGTTTTAGATAACAGCAAATGTGAGATAATTAATCTTTAGACAACTGTAAATTTGACAAAATTGTTTTAGATAACCACGAAGGTGAGATAATTATTTTTGTGGAAACCTTTCTGATGAGATAATTACATATGTTCGTGATAACGATGAACCTAAATGCGAGATTAAATGTTGACGAACTAATTTGAAAACATACGGTGACATGGAACTACATGCGACAAGCTCCTTTCCATACCCATGAGAAATATCTACTGAGTCTGAAAGCATAGTCCAATGTACGATCCATGTGTTTATGAATCACTATCAAGTTGTGATGATACCACGTGTTCGCAAAAAGGCAAGCATATCCTGCCCTACCGGTGACCCGTCACAAACTCATGCAAAGCCAAGTCAAGTGTTCACCTTGACAAACCCGGGATCATATGGTGCGAGCCAAAATAGTGAATTGCATCGGACATCATTTTGGTCATTGAAGACATGCACATATTTTGAGACGGTGATCCTTTTCTAAACAATGAGCTCACTCATACGGGTAAACCGAAATGACATGACGATTGACTTACCGAATGGACACACTGTTTGATTTGTCGGGTAGATATATTGTTTGACTTGTCGGGTAGATATATTGTTTGACTTAGTATCATTGTATAATGACAAGACAGGCATGTTTTTTATACGAATCGCATGACTCATTGTAATTTGTTACTTGAAACGTTCGAAGTAATAGTTTACGGATTGCCGTGATAAAATAGTTTTCGCAGAACACCCCGGCGTGTCAAAGGGGTGGCTTTTTCTACCAACCCTATAACCAAAGAGGAGGAACACCGGCTGTTATATTAACAGACGAGCCTAACGAGCATTGTGACATTTGAGAATTCATTGCCCTATAACACGTGCAACAGCGTTATAAATGTACAAATGTTCTCCAACAGATCGTCCACTTAGACGCCGTCATATATCGCAGTCAGCCACTGAACACGTGTAGATATGTTAAGGAGGTCGCTATTTCTGGAACCGAGCTGCTTCAAATTTGAATATAACCGCCAATCAATTCTTTTAAAAGTTAAAGATTATACACATTTTAACTAACTTATGGTAAGGTCAGCTTGACCTAAGTTTGGTGTTGATAGAGTTAAGAACGCCGCTCAACATGTAAGTGGCACAGACAGGTTGCCAAATCAAACGATTACACGCAGCTTGTGTGACTTATGTAAGTAGCTTGTGTTATTCTTGTGTTTACTGATTGCATTTGAAATTTTTGCCTAGTTTTGTGCTTGTAACCTTGCCATCGATTATCATATTTAAGTTATTATAAACTGAGGGGCAAAAGAAAATGTGTTTTTAAATGTAATTGACCATTGAAAGAACAGTTGTCAAATTCGTCTATTTAACCAGCATTCATTCCAACAGTTTAGTGAAAAGTAATCAGAGGCTTTGTAATTTTGTGTAAAATATATTGGTTCAGTGAAGACTGGGGTTAGAAATGGTTTTATTTATGAAAAAAATGTTGTACAGTTGAGCCGAAAAAAGCAAATGTATTGATATTTAAAGATAAGGTGTCTACAATACCTATAAGCAGTTGTGTATTATGCGATTTTTGTGTGTGTCATTTAAAAAAAGTTTTAAATCAAATTATTTTCACAAAATGAAACCGTCTAAATGTAGAAGTATTCTTAGAGTGTTGACTAAGCGCCAGTACAGTTATTGTTATTGGATGTAGTATCTAAAACTGACACGACGATTCACAACTTATGAGGTACAATGGTAGATACTCTTTGTCCGGAGATTTCAAACAGCGTCAAACGACCCCCTCTCAAAGGTTGTTTGATTTTATGATAGTGAGTGAGTGAGTGAGTTGGATTTAACGCCGCTTTTAACAGTATTCCAGCTACATCACGGCGTGTCAGCTTAATGTGGGAGGAAAGCCCGAAGTGATGCAAATCTCAGAGGTTTACCACTTCGGTGAAACCCACGAGCAAGGGTATGGTGCTGACGAACCTAGAAACATAATCGGGGCGAACCGGGATTCGAACCCACAATCATAGGTTTCTGGCGTGCCAAAGGGACGCAACTCTGCACAGCGAATCGCGGCGCCTTAGACGACTGGGCCACCCGTGCCCCCAGTTTAATGATAGACATGTGGAGGACATGTCCAAATGTGACGCATCAGTGACCAAAGTGATGCCTGATGTAATTATTTTCACTTGCCCCATATATTCCCGAGTTTTTTCAGGTGAACAATTGACATTCCTTTGCGTGTGTTTATGACGGGTGCCAGTAGGGGGCAGGATACGCTCACCATTCCGCGAACCTTGTTATCATCACGCGTTGATCATGATTCATAAACACATGTTCATGATATAGTCGGAATCGTACAATGGACTCTGCTTTTTACCAGATATTTCATATGATTATTGAAATGGTTTTGTCGCTGTTAATTATAGCGTTCAAGGTGAGGTGAAATGGGGTTTAACGTCGCGTCCAAGATTATTGCACCCATATAGCGACGTGCATGTACGTGTTTGTGTGGCTGCTTGTACTAATCCGGACTGATGCCGATTGATAGTGCTAGCCCACTGAGATACCATGCCGCAGTTTAACATGAATACCCCACTCAGACACAGTATACTGACTCCGAGCCTGTCCTTGTTTAAACCCCTTAGTGCCGAGCACCAGACAGGGTAACAACAAGTACCATCTTTTAACGTCTTTTGGTATGACGCGGCCGGGTGTAACGAATAATTTATGAAGAAATACGAATCTGGTATTCATTCACAGTTTCAGAATTCACTGTTTTACATTAAGTCATTACTGTTTTGAACTTACGTGTGATAAGCGGTCGGGTAGCCTAGTGGTTAAAATATTCGATGGTAACGCCGAAGACCCGGGTTCGATTCCTCCCATGATCACAATGAGTGAAACCCATTTCTTGTGTCCCCCACCGTGTTATTGCCACAGACGGTGTAAAACCATAATCGCTCACTCACTTACGTTCGATATGTTAACGTATGTATTTTCCAGAATATCTTTATTTTACACCTTTTAGATCCCAAACAAAAGGGTTAAGCCCTTCCTCCCGTGCCTGTGATCTGATTGCCCCTCTGGTTCCAATATATGCTGTGCCATATTTGGCTAAATTCCCAATGATTTTGCACTTAATTGAAACATGTTTAGATTTTTAGGATACTACACAGTGATATGAACTTTGTCGTAGACATGTTTATATTCTAAACATTTTAGATCATGGAGATGTTGTGTTTAGGTGGTGTTAGACTGTGAGACGTAGCTAATTCCACGTGCTAAGACACTAAATGTGTTTAGATAGAACACCAAATAAGTATTCCGTTTGGGATTTAAATAATTCCTGAACATGTTCAGATCTCAACATTTCTTGTATGTGTTTACATTCTAAACACATTCCTGTACAGTGTATGATGTAGAGAAACACATTTTTGAAATATCTTACATTCTTTCGTTATCGGTTTTCTGACAATCTCATTGTGCGTTAAGAAAATGATCAGTGGAATGACGTTAAAGGCACTGTTAGCTAGGGCAGATTGGCAGTCCTTGCACGATTGACTGAAGTGCTGAAATACCATTTGTTTGTCTGCTAGCTCAAATTGCGTGATGTATTCTACTTAATAGGAGTTAGAGAACACTTAATTCTTTCATATGACTATAGTTAATCTGTCACGCCATGATAGATGAATTTACTATAGTAATATGAAATAGTCGGGTGGTCCTTAACTTCTTAAATAAATATATGAGGACATGTGTCAGTGAAATATCATGTTTCTCTCATCGAAGGACGGAGGAAAAGGAGACATCTCCTTTCTCCCGTTACATTTCCCCCTTTACGCTGCCTTGATAATGTGGAACTAACGCAAAAAGGAGTCAAAAGTGTATGTACGTGCCAGACACTAAC